AAAGTAAATGAGGGTGGAGTATCCTAAAACTGACTCAGAAATAGGCAACAAGAAATTGACATTCATGTTATCATGAGATTATGTGCTATACCTCTCATATAACATTGATTCGTTATTCGTGAGATATGATTATCCTCAAACTTAGATCACTAGTCTCAGCTTTATAGCAGGTAAATTTCTAGGGAACTGTCTCCATAGTTTTTTTAACCATCAGATCAATATATCCGCACATGCGCGTGAGCGTGGAATGTGTTAAAACCCATGGGGCAATGTCCACGAGGTAGGGTCGAAGTCGAACTACCGTTTTAGCAGGTTCAGATTGGTATGGAGATTTAAATGGCTAGCCCGGTGTTTGAGGTGCTATATTTTAGCATCTCAACAAATTAAATGAAATCGGAAAAATAATTATACCAACACAAATTTCGTGTGAGTCACCCTAGTCTAATCGCTAGGTCAATTGTCAAAGTTTTGATAATTGAGGCATAAAGGTCCCACACATTGAAGTGCACCGGAAAAGAGTGAGCCTAGATGCACATTAGTGAGGTTCCATTTGAAAGCCTATTGGTGATAGGAGGAGTAGCCGACTAGGCTTGTAAACTAGACTCATTTTACCATATCAAATCAATGTGGGACAACTCACAAGTGATATTCCAACATCAGTCCATCATATTTTTTATTTTTGTTGTCTTTTTTAGACTACACGACACATTTCAGTTTAAAAGTATGTAAATATTTTAAAAAAGTATAACCGGCTAACCGTTGAACCAATATTTTTTTCGATTTCAGTTTCAGCATAACTAAGGTAGAGTGGGTTGTGCAAATTGCAGCTGATAAATGAGCTAGCAGCGATTCCGCATTATATGCATAATTCCAGTCTGCATACAGCTGTGGTGTTAAGTTATAGATAATCGTTTATTTTGTTTTATGGGACATTCGCTGTAATAAGGCTGGCCATGAAAAGTTGGCTTACGCTACATATTAGATTCATATGACAGATAGAGTTTGCATATGAGAACATGCTCATGTTCAACTTACTCTTATCCTTCAGAGTCCAAATATCTTAATTTTTGAGGGAAATGTTACAGTTCCGTTACGAGACTTTTTTGTTGGGATTTGTAACCGTTAGGTCAACTATTCTTGACGGTTACATAACGATCTAACTTTTACAAACCCCGACGGAATGGTTCCGTAACGAGACTGTAGCATCTCTCAATATTTACACTATGATCAGTTACGCATCGTTTTCTTGCACGACGGTGATGGTTGAATAAGTTCAAATTACGCCTATCTATCGTCACAAATAAATTTGTATAAAAATTAATAAGAATAAAAATAGAAATAAAACGCGGTGAGTCTGGGTTGGTCTGATGGGTCTTGGTGCCAATTACTTGTCAAACCGTGCCGTGGATTACGGGGGCCTTCTATGCTCATCCACTAAAATGTGGAATCCCTCTTCTTTAAACTAATAATATATTTTGTTTTTATTCATGTATGAGTGGTCAACTATCCTAATAATTAAGTCCTCTATTATAATAGAGATGTTTTTTTTATTATTCATATTGACAATTAGATCACCCCGTAGTAGAATTGGTGTATTTTTATTAGGCTTAATTGCATATAAAATTATAATATTTTGGAGAATTTGCAAATAAAACTATAAAATTTTTAATCTTTGCAAATAAATTCTTAACTCTTATTATGTGTTGTAAATTTGTCTCTAAGGCCTTATTCGGCTAATCCCAAACTTACAAGTCCGACCAACAAGCTTACGAGACACTTATGTTTAATTTCATCAGCCTGATTTTCCACATCACTAGATTTAAACTTGAAATGATTTTTTTGCAACACCAACAAAGAACCCTAATTTAAACTTCTAAAGAAATTGGTCAAAACCAAATCCCATTTTCAGGCTAATAGAATTAGGTTAGTACATGTTCTCCATTGGGGCAACAAAAGCTTTCTATGTGGTTCGACTAGGCAAATTGTCAACAGATCAAAGTATTTCACAAATCACATGTAATGTGTTCGATTTTGCACAATTTTATTAAAAGTTGAAATTAGGGTTCTTGCCCAATTTTGTCCGAAGATCATCCTTGAAGGGGATAATGATTCTCTCACAGCCAAAGTTGAGGAAAAAGAAATCAGAGAAGCCCTTTTCAGCTTACACCCCGAAAAGGCTCCAGGTTCAGACGGTATGTCTCCAAATTTCTTTCAAAGCTTTTGGGAAATCATTAAACAGGACTTATGTGAAGCAATCCAAAGCTTCTTTCAATATGGGAGAATGCTAAAAAACTGGAACCATACTCTGCTTTCTTTGATCCCAAAATGCAAAAACCCCACCTCTCTGGGGAATTACAGGCCCATCAGCCTCTGTGGTGTTGCTTACAAAATGGTCTCCAAGATTTTGGCAAATCGGTTGAAGCCTTTTCTGAGCAGATTCATTAATTCAAGCCAAACAACATTTATTAAGGATAGGCTTCTCACTGATAATGTTATAGTGGCTCAGGAGGCAATCCACTTTCTTAATAGACACAGATCGGGGAAAAAATGTTATATGGCCTTGAAACTTGATATGATGAAGGCTTTTGATCGTATAGAGTGGAACAGTATCATTAAAATCATGTTGAGCCTTGGTTTTCACTCTTCCTTTGTGCAGTGGATTTTTGCCTGTATATCAACATCATCCTTTTCTTTCAACATAAATGGTGATATGTGTGGTTATCTGAAGCCTTCAAGGGGTATTAGACAGGGGGATCCTCTATCCCCCTATCTGTTCATTATTGTTTCTGAGATGTTCTCTAGACTCATTGGCTTTGAGGTAAGGGCTGGTAATTTCCAGGGGCTGAGATTGGTTAAAAGTGGTACAAGACTTACTCACCTTCTGTTTGCGGATGACTCCCTCATTTTTTGTGAAGCTAACACCTCTCAAGCTGCCTGTCTTCTTCAAATTCTTCAAAAATACCAGCTTTTCACTGGGCAACTAGTAAATTTGGAAAAATCATCTGCTTTCTTCAGCAAGAACACACCTGCCACCACTCAACACTCCATCTGCCAAGTCTTAAATGGTATCACTGTTCATAGATCATCCAGATACCTGGGAATGCCCCTTGGGATTGGGAAATCCAAAAGAGAATCTTTCAACTTTGTGATCGAAGCAGTCAGAACTAAGCTCATAAATTGGAAAAACAAGTACCTCTCTCCAGCTGGAAAAGAGGTTCTTATAAAATCTGTTTTGAATGCTTTGCCAGTCTTCATCATGTCATGCTTCTGTCTCCCTAAAGGTCTTTGCAAGGAAATCTCCCAACTTTGTGCAAGGTTCTGGTGGAGTTCTGGTGATGAGAATAAACAAGGGATACACTGGAAGGACTGGAGATATATGACAACTCCCAAACAATGGGGAGGTTTAGGTTTCCAGGATGTGCAATTATTCAATGAAGCCATAATCATTAAGCAAATCTGGAGAGTTGCTACAAATCCAAACCTGTTGATGAGCAAAATTCTCAAGGAAAAGTACTTCCCTTCAACCTCTATCTTTGAAGCTTGCAAATCCACCAGTTCATCTTGGATGTGGAATAACTGGATCAAAGTCAAGATTAAATAACAAAATCAATTCAGAAGGGAAGTTGCTGATGGCAAGACCACTAGAATTTGGCAAGACCCTTGGGTGCCTGACCTCCTATCTGGCATTCCTAAAGGGAAGCTTCCTCACAGATTCCATTTTTTTAAGGTTGCTGAACTTCTCAATGAGAGTAAGAGATCATGGAATGCTGCTCTAATCAAAGATATATTCACTGAGGAAGAGGCTGCTGCTATTCTCAACATAAAGACACTCACACCTGAGAAATTTGACAAATGGTGCTGGAAAGGTAACAAAATCGGAAAATTCTCAGTGGCAACACCTATGCCCATCTGATGCTGCAAAAAACTCTTGTGATGGACAGAGCTGAAGGGAGCAAATCAGCCAAGATGGATAAAGCAGCTAGAGATAGATGCTGGAAACTTGGGATCAAAGGCAAGATTAAGCATCTAATCTGGAAGTCTTTCTCTAATTCACTACCAACAGGTGTTAACCTCAAGAAGAAAGGACTTGATGTGGATTACATGTGCCATTGCTGTGGAGAAGCCCCTGAAACAGTGGAACACCTTTTTTTTCACTGTCCAAGATCTCAACTCATCTGGAAGCTAGCCCCACTTGACTGGGGAAACTCTATGAATGAAGCTCACAATTTTAAAAACTGGTGGTGGTGGATAACTTTTGTGGACAGGAAAGAGACTTCAGAGCATAGAATCCAATTGTCCACTTACATCTTATGGTGGATTTGGAAAACAAGAAATCTATGGCTCTTTCAAAGGATATGGAGATCCGAGGCAGAAGTAATCAAGCTGGCTTTGGATGATTGGTCTGAGTACAATAGCAGATTCTCTCCTCTTAGTTGATTATTCATGTTTTTGTCATTTGGCAGGCATATATGGAGCTTAGGTCCTTTGGTCAGTTTGCTACATGTATGTTCTGTTCTCTTTTTTTAGTTTTTCATTTTGTGGTTTTTCTTGTGATAGGTAGTAAGGGTCCAAATTATGTATTTGCCTTACTTCCTTGTTTGCTGTTGGTTTTGGTTCCTCATAGGCAGTTTGTTGCTTTCCTTTCTCTTGCTTTTCTTGCGGGTTGTTTAGCTCACCGGGTTGTGGTGTAGCTCTCTTTATTTAAGAGCTAGTTAGCTCTTCGATGTACTGAACTCTTTCGTTTATTTATGAGAATTCCTATCGTTCCGAAAAAAAAAAGAAACGCTTTTGTTAAGGCAGACCGAACGTTGTCGTTTTGTACTATTGACAAAATCAGTCTTGTTGGTCAGACATGTAAGCTCGGGGTTAGCCGAAAAATGATTTGAAGATAAATTTGTAACACATAATAAGAGTTTGATATATATTTATGATAAAAAGTTTGAGTTTTATTTGCAGTTCTTTAAAAGTTCGGGATTTTATTGACAGTTAAGCCTTTTTATTAACAATGATTTTGTTAGATTTTTACTAACAATTTTGGGCTTTGATTTTTTTATTTGTTTGTTAGTTATTTGGTGATATATATATATATAATAAAATTTACTAAAAATAGTAATAAAAAAAATTTAAGAATATTTAATATATACATGTTATAGAAATTTTTTAAATGTATGCATTAAATACTTGTATATACACGTTCTCAAATCAGATCAAATGGATATGATCAAAATCATTCTTCAATTGATAATTTTATTAATATCTGTAATAATTTTATTGATATCCATTGTAATCAAAATATTATTTCGTGATTTATTTCGAAACAATAGAGAATATTATAAATTAAAACAGACAAATATGCAAAATACATAGCCCCTGGCTGAATAGAACAACCAACATCTGAAAAAGTTAGAGGACAAGTCAGAAGACCGTCTATAACCAACCTAACAATGCTAGAAAAACAAACTCATACCAAAAACTACAAAAACTACATAACCCCCAAACAAGAGGCTAAAACGACCCCAACGGAGTAATTCCTGCTCACCCTAGGGCTCGCATAGGCCAACGGACCAAACAAAAGCCACAAGTCCTAACAACACAAACACAAATTACAGAAGAAACAGACGAAGAACAAAACAAAATAAACGAAAAAAGAGCCCTTCCACAGCAGAACAATCGGGCTGAAACTAGTAGAGCAACAGTCGACTCAAAAAAAGTAATCCGAAGCCCAGGTAACCACTCCTAAAACTGCCGAACCGCCTATACAGAAGTTGAACCCGAACCCGGACCAATCCCCAAAACGACCCGCCGCCAACCGGAGGAACAACGAAAACCGGCCCCATACCACCCCCACCAGAAAACGTCTAACACCACTAGCCGATCTCGATTGAACCAGATCCCCTGCCGCCTAACACCACTAGCCGAACAGGGGGGTGAGGGCGGCGGCTCGGTCCCTCAACTCTGACCGCCCCGACGCGATACACCGCAGCCACCAGAGCCTCGCACCACCCATTGAGCCTCACTTCGCCCAGCACCACCGCATACCTGCAGGCGACCAGAGCCCGAAGATCCCACCCGAAAAGTCAAAGCCTTCCATGACGAACCCCTGCAATCCCAAACCGACACAGTAAAATTGTGGCAGCAAAAAATCAGAGGTGGGTCGAGCAGTAAAAAACGACCACTGGCTAGGATCCCGCCGTCGTTGAGTAAGGCAAACCGGCAACAAAATTGAAGGGGCTACGATGAGAAGGGTTAGGGTTTTTTTCGTGAAGCTTCTTTGCACGCTTCTTTCACTTTGTGATTCATTTTGATAATATTTTGGTCAAGATAAACATGAAAAAATATTTTAAATTGTAACCATATTATTATTTTTTTTTCACAGATTTTACATCATAAAATATCTATAGAAAATTATGACGGGTTACACAAATATTTTCCTTCCTATTAATCAATTCAAAATCAAGTTAATAACTTAATCTTTGTTAATTTAAGTTTTTCTTAAGCTTAATTTAATGATATAAAAAAATAAATATTTCTTCAAATAAATCTAATTTATCATTTAAGAGATACTGAGTAGATACATTAAATAGTTTAAATAATGGACATATAATAAACTTAAAATACATATTAAATATTCTTTAGAATTTAGAAATGTAATTTATTTGTATATTATTACCAGTCATTATTAACTATATTATAATTTGTATTTTGATTTTTTCCACAACAAAATTATTGGAAAATATTTTATTGCATAATATTCTAGATAAAGTATAAAGTCATAGGTTGCAAATTAAAAAAAAGGTAAATCTCTTGATTATATAAGGAATTTATATTTTGACAATTGGTAAATCAAAGTTGTTTAATTATTATAAAAAAAATTAAATTCTAAAATACATGTCTGTATATTTAGTAAGATAAATATACAAACTATTTTATTTTTAATTTATTTATATGTTTTTAATTATATTACTAAATAATATTAACGTACATTAAATATTTTTCATTATATCAAACAAAAATATGAAGACTACTTGCATAAATTTTATAAAAAATTAAAAATAAATTTTAGATGACTTTTATAGTTAAATAATAATAATTGAATATTATATGGTGAACAAGAATAAGTAGTTGCTTCGCGCATTCCCCAACTGGTTCATAATTGAGTATTATATTAGAACGACGCCGAAACCCAATCCCCAATTCTCTCTTGCCCTCTCGCCAAAACCCTACACTCCTCATCCGCCCATCTCGATTCATATTTTTCTTGCCTTGCACGGCGAATAGCTGACCCTCTTGTCGGCGGATGGCCCTTAGCCGCACTCCCTTGTCTGGATTTTGTGCCATCTCCAATCGGTTTGCGCCAATGGAGGATGTTGGATGTTCGACATAAAGTTCTTGTAGAGTCGCCGTTCGAGGATATCTTTCCCGGACTCTCTGGTTTGTGTGTTATGTCGGAAGGTGGTATGGGATTGAGAGAAGGGTGTGGCCTTGGCTGCTCGTCAATGTCGATGGCGGGCTGGCTGGGGTTGAGGGCGAGGCTCGACTCCCCTATTTATCCGCTCCTTTGGTGCGCAACACGGGGGAGACTGACACCTTGGACCTAGGTTAGTGGTTATGGTCGGGTTCGGGGTGGTGGTGTGTGGGCAGGATCTGGCTTTGTTTGTCCAGCTTTGGTTCGACTTCTCTCTGAGAGTGGTTCGGGGCTCTGGCACTCGGTTTTAGCTAGGAAATATGGCAATTTCTGAAGTGACTTTCTGGACTTTGGGTCAAGCTATGAGGATGGTCGGCCTTTATCTGTTGGTGCCTTGTGCGGAGATTGGCTAAGCTGCTAGGGAAAAGCTTTATTGTCTGTTTAGTTGAGTTAGTTTTCTTTATTTTCGTGTTGTTTTTGTTTAGTAGTTCTTTAGGATTTGTGCTCAGTGAACCCGAGTTTGATCGGGTATTATTCTAGTGCGATCTTTACGTTCTCCTGTTGGGAGCTTTGCTGTGTTTGTAGTGTTTATTGTGTTACGTGTGTTGCCGAGTGGTTTCTAGCGTTGCTAGTGTTGGTTTCTAGATGATCTTCGGATCTGTCCTTCCAGTTTTTCTGCTATTAGTTGTATTATTCAGCTAGAGAATGTATCTTTGCACAAGTTTACGTTTTATTTATAAAAATCTCTGTCGTTTCGAAATAAAAAAAAAAAAGAATAAGTAAATTGTTACGTATTTATCAAGAAAATAAATATACATACTAAAATAAAATTTGATATAGTATAAACATATTTTGGGTTTTCTTTTTTTTTTTTTCACACCTCAAATGATCATATTATTAATAAACATATTTTGGGTTAATATGTTAATTGACGTACAGACACACTCAAGTTTAATATTATGGCTAAAAAAACACTAATTAATTGAGGTAAAAAATTGATGATCGAATCTATTATTTTTGGGACTAAACAGACATACACTATCAAAATGAGTGATTTGACATATTTGTCTCACGCATCGGATAAGCTATGCATTAGTTGAATTTGAAACAAAGATCATTTCTGAAGCAAAATTTTATAATTCGAGTTTTTCTTTTTTATTCTAAAATAAAGATTGATGTGTGTGTTAATTAATTAATTGGTCTCTAACTATAGTAATGCTCAATTATTCAAAGAAATTACAATTG